AACCTTAACGATCCGAATAATCGATGAATCGATAGATTCATCGATTATCAAATTAGTCGTGTGTTGCAGCCCTAGTGATGACACGTGGTGACACCAATGTGCAATAGGGTCTGTGACGAATTCATTACGAACATTGTAAGAGCAACTAACTTTACCAACTTTGACACAGATTTAGATTAGGTCTAATTTGATTAGACAATGTCATGAAACCACCAAGCACCTAGCACAAGAAACATTCATTAGCTAGCTAACATCAGCTAACCTACTAGTAAGTTAGTTAGACCATGGCGTCAGAATTCAGACTTAGCAGCAATGCTAAGCTAACTAGCTTATACCAATGGCAATTATACCAGTCTTACCGGTTAAAGTATTCATTGTTCGCTCTTTCATTCGAATACAGCATAAGCCTTCTGCCAACAAATGGAACAGTCAGCAACAGTTGGCTGGCTAGCACCAGAGCCATCTACCATAGCCATATACGGCGCTGGCTAGCACTAGCTAGGCTAACGTTAAGGCCACCTGCTTGAAGGTGGACATGGCTGCTATCAAGCTAATGTTACTAGCTAACGCTAGCTATCTATTCGCTACCATGTACAAACCAACACGACACTACTCCACTGGCGTTCACAATCGAAAGCACATAATATCCACCACTAATCCACATTATGGGCAGTACTTACTTGCTGTTTACCGATGGTAACCGCTTTGGAGAAACTCACAGATGTTCACCTTGACTGTTGCCTCCGTGCGAATTTTCGAAAGGATCGAGGCATCTCTGTTAGGAGGCTTTGGGTTCCTCAATGCGCGATATGATTGGCCGTTCGAGCGATGACGTTCCGTTTCGTCCCTTCAAACGTGACACCTACGGTTAACAGGCAAACCAGTGGACAAATATCCAGAAATTACGTTTTTTCTGGCGTGTATGTCACGTGATCTTCAACTTTCTCAGCAGAATAAAATAAATATAAATATATCAGCAATTAAACAACATATTCCATTTATTTTCACACAATACGTCTCCTTTCAGTATCAACACTAATTCGGCTGACTTATATATTTGATCCAATTGGTAGATAGGGACACCTAGTGGTTAAAGCACGTTATTGAAATGTTTTGTTGAATAATCTTTCATCTTTAATAACCTGACTTTGGAAAGGGCTGGAAAGATACTTTTTTCACCAGGGGCCTCTAAATAGGGCCCAGATAAGAAATATGAAATATGGGAACCGTAACTCACCCAGACATTTTTTTTTCAATCTAATGTCAAACTCTCACAAAATCCTGTCTAGAGCTAAAGATTGGACACCCTTTGGTGAGGGAGGGAGAGAAAATTGAAAAAAATTGAAAAAAGGTGCTTGGCGCTTCGAGACTTTGAGAGTGTGTTGCTTCACTTGTGTGGAACCCGCTTGCAAAATTTGGGGCCGCGGTGACCTTCAACCAAGTCTCAAACTAAGGTTAAAGGTCATGTTTTCATGGCTCTCAGTACTCTAGACGGCACAAAGGAAGGTCCGACAGCTTTGAGCTTGGTGTCGTTGGAATCGCCTCGAAGAGTACATGCAGATTCATCCCTCTGCTGCTCCGAATGTCAAACGTTACGGCTTAAAACGGGACAAAGCCTTCCATTATGCCGCTTTCACTCTCGCTCTTGTGGTGACAGAGCACGCCAATTTTCCCGCATGCTAGGCAGACAAGATTATTCTAGTTAGCTTTGGTTTGATGTGGAGATGTGATTTGATGTGTCGTTTGTCCCCCAACTCCTCTCCAAAGTTGAGATATGTAATAAAATACTCAGGGGAGTTTCCTGAATTTTCATGCCGAAAGCCAAGCACTAGGCCCTGGGTAAATTAAGACGCTGATTTGGGGCACTTTTTCCACTTTCCCTGGTGCTAGAAACTCAAGTCAGGCATCCCTGGAATCGTTGTAAAAATACATTTCTAGCTAAACGTAATTGAGAATGCAGTTTAGTTCTGTGGGAACGTAATTTTTAGGAGACAGGGTTGCCAGGACACACGCCGATTAGAATAGTCTATTCTGCACATGTGCAATAGTGCACAATTCAAATTTTACAGTAATGAGTTGTGCTCTTTATATACAGTCTATCATGGTTGTGCTAAGATGATTTTGAGTACAGTGCTTTACTGTGAAATAATAGTTAAATAATGTGAAATCCAATTCTACTGTTTTATAGATATTTTGTTGTGATATTACAGGGGCTTTTGATTACAATATTTCTCTGTAATATGATACTCTTAAATGCTGTGAAATCCTTGCAATTTTTACAATGTTGTTGTGATATTACAACATTTGATGTGATATTACAGAGGATTTTGATTGCAGTATTTTATTGTGAAATAATAGTTAAATGCTGTGAAATCACAAGGATACAGTCCTTTTTACATGTATTTGTTGGGATATTACAGGGGGCCTTGAATACAATATGTCACTGTAAAATAATACTGTTAAATGTTGTGAAATGCTGGTAATTGTTTACAGTGTAGTCACTGTGACCTTTTTACCTGTGCTGGACTATGGTGATCTATTTTATATGAATGCGCCGGCCAATTACCTCACCAAGATAGATGCCGCCTATCATAGTGCACTAAGGTTTGTGACAGACTGTAAGACTTTGACTCATCATTGTACCCTGTATACAAGGGCAGGGTTGCTTTCACTTACTGTACGGCGGCTAAATCACTGGTATCTTTTTATTTATAAAGCAATGTTAGGGAAACTTCCGTCTTACATCTGTTCCCTGATCTCACAGCGTATTGTAAATGGCTACTGCCTGAGATCTAAAGCTGTGGTTGTATTACATGTGCCAACTGCTAGGACTGTATTAGGAAATACAGCTTTTAGATGCGCAGCGCCGCTAGCATGGAACAGTCTACAAAAGGAATGGAAGCTAAGCAGTTTGATTCCATTTCATGTTTTTAAAGCTAGGATAGACGCTATACAATCAGAAAATATTGGTGTCTGTAAATGCTACTAGTATACAAACTGTAGTATCATATAATGTCCTTTGTTTTCTGTCATGTTTGTATTAATGTTTGGAACTAATTGAAGCAGGTCACCATTGTAAAAGAGGTCTATGATCTCAATGGGTTTTATCTGTATAAATAAAGGTTTTGAATTGAATTGAATTGAATAAGAGCGGTAGCTGCACCTTTGAACACAGAGAAGTACCAGAGCAGAAGGCAGGTGGAGAGAGACGCTCTGAAGTAGACCCAAAATGCTCCTCAGCTTGCCCGTCTGTCCCTGGTCTCACCTCTGACCTTTGAACTCTCTAACCTGTCTCACTGCTGTACCTTTGATGTCCTAACAGCAAGGCAGCACTATGCAAAAAGACCTGAGAGCAGGAAAGAACGGCCCATATGTTTAAGAGAGAATGACAACAAAGAGCACATGGTCATAAATAGAGGAAGAGAATGACACTGATATTTAAATAATTCACAGGATTTAAGCATATTTTTAAAGTTAAACGTAAAGGGAAATATTTTGTGTAATGTGCCCAATGTGCCGAGAGTGAGATAAGAAGCAGGTTGCCGTCTGTCCAGGCTGCAGCGAGAAGTGGGATAATGTTAAGCGATTGGAAACAGCGGTTCAAATTGCAAAAAGGAAAATATATTTTTCCAAAATGTCGAGCTAAATGCTCTTTCAGCAGATTTCCCATCTAGCTTTCCTCTCTGTTTGTGTTGACAGTGTTGAGTTTGCTGCTCTGCTCAATACACTTTTCAGTGTAAAGCATAGAATTATATCATTATCCCTTTTTATTTCTATATGTATATTCTGTTTTGTGAGGGTTTATAATTTAAAAGACTCAAAGGTGTATATGATCCAAGACTGAAATATATTCCGTTTACAATCACAAATTACAAAAAATAACCCATGAGAAGCTCGGTGCAGAAAATATCAAGTATCTTTGCTTAAATTAAATCCCTTTTACCTAATTTTAGTTGATTATCAAAATAAATAAGAATTTATTTTTGTACAATTTGTATTAGACTTCCTCTATTCCTTTATTTCTTTGGGATTCATATTTGAAAAGCTGCATTTACATCTCAACTGAATACAAAAACAAGCATTCATGGCTTTTTCATAATTTCATAACAAAAAAAATCTCTATTATCATATTAAAGAAAGATATGGTACTTTTTGTTTTGTAACTAATTATGTTCTTCCTTATTTTATCCTCAATCCTTTTACTCCCATGGCTTTATCCCATCTATTTAACGTCCTATAGTGTGGATGCTTGTGAAGGAAAAGGGTAAAAGCTGTTTCTTCTCCTCCTGTCAGAACTACTCACATCACTGTAAGGTGACAGCTGGCATGTCACGATTGTTTCCGCATCCCATGATGCTCTGCATGGAAGATACCAGCTTGAACCGAGTAAAACTGTGGGCTGTCATCATCAGACGGAAATGATGACTGCAGCTGACAATGGTCTAAAACACATGAAAGCACATGAAAACCTTGCCACAGGTCAATGAAGAATATTGGCTTCTAATCAAATCCTCTGTCTGGTTATAAATCTGTTTTATGTCAAATCTCCATTCAATATATTGCTGCACAGGAGGGTTTATATCCCTGCAGCCTGATATCCCTCTGTAGGCACAATTGTTCTCTTCCTCCATTAGGTGGCCTCAGCGACCCACTGGCCATGCATGTTTGGCCCTTGTCCCTAATTTTTATAACCTGCATCTTAATTTAATTAAACTACACCACAGTGCAGATTAAACTGGGTCAATTGAATTGAATTGAGATTAAGCATGTTGATAACAGCTAGGTGTATTCAGCACCATGCTGTTTTAAGCCTCTAAACTCTGCCACTCAAGAGCCGGCAATGTGGCACATGACAAGTCCCTCCTGTGTCGTGGTGCATATAGGCAGTAGTGGCTTTAATCACCGAGGGGCCCGAAGTCGCATGCTCTCATTCACTTTGTCTTGAATGGGACAACGTCAGCGCGCCGGAGTGAGGCTGTGCCGCGCGGCGCACAGACAGAGACCCGCCGCAGAGCGAGCAGGGGCTGCGGGAGGACGCAGCGAGAGAGGGGACGGCTGAGTGACAACTACAGTTGTGTGTGGTGTATTTTATAACAGTCAGCGATGTGGAGGCCATCGAGGATATTATCGGACTCTTATCTAGTTTGTTTTTGTCGGACATGAAGACTGCACCTGCCCTTTTGGATTGACTTTACGCTGTTAAATTCTCATGGAGGCGACGGGACGTTTATTTTGAAATGTGAAAATCAAGCTACAGCTTGCTGCGACCCCATGAGTAAGAGGTGAGAAAATTGTTATTGTTGTCATGCATGTAGGGAGGTGTGACTATTTGGTAATCACGCATTCAACAACAATGCTTGCATGGGAAACTCCATTTGTATTCCGTTTGAAATCTGATCATTGGCAAAGCAACACACATCACATTTCCTTTATGACACACACACACACACACACACACACACACACACACACACACACACACACACACACACACACACACACACACACACACACACACACACACACACACACACAATATTATATCAATAAGAATAAATAAAGTATTTTGACCAATTTGCTTTTATTTAAATTAATGCAATACATCCAATCTTGTATAATTCCTTTCTTCAATCTGCAGGGCTGCTGATGACTTTAATTAGCAGACAGAGGCTACCTAAAGTGTGGGATCTACAAACTCCAAGACAAAGAAAGAAGAGCCAATGGCGGTCATTATCAAGGAACTAAGTTAACACAACCTCTTCAGTTCTGCAGCTTGAATAATGTCAAATCTAATTTATAAAGTCAGTGGGCTAATGTCCTGCCAAGAGCATGTTTGCCTCAAACATGTCAGCCCTCTTCATACATTTGGAAGACACAGTGATGGAGATTGTTTGCAAAGCTGTTGCACAGAAGCCTCCCAGTTTTTAATCCTGTGGATATAATGTACAACCCTTCAGCATGACTTAATAAACAAGCTCTCCCCAACCCTCGAATGTTCAGGGATGGATCTCATGAACCTTACAACTGTCATCGATAACGGGTTTTTGGACGAGGCTCCGTCGAGCCGCGTCCTGACTGGCTGTTTCCTCTCGTTGCTCATCCTTACCACCTTGCTGGGAAACATTCTTGTTTGTGCCGCCGTCATCAAGTTTCGACATCTACGATTGAAGGTCACCAACTTTTTTGTGATCTCGCTGGCCGTGTCAGACCTCTTGGTCGCCATCTTGGTGATGCCGTGGAAGGCAGTGACGGAGATCGCCGGATTCTGGCCATTTGGCTCTTTTTGTGACACCTGGGTTGCATTTGACATCATGTGCTCCACCGCGTCCATTTTGAACCTTTGCGTGATAAGCCTGGACCGCTACTGGGCCATCTCCAACCCCTTCCGCTATGAGAGGAAGATGACACCCAGGATGGCCTATGTGATGATCAGTGTGGCCTGGACGCTATCTGTGCTCATTTCCTTTATCCCGGTGCAGCTCAACTGGCACAAGGCCCAAACTAAATCTTACGCCCCTGACACAGAGTCCTCCTCAGACTTCAATGATACATCTTACCACAGCCCAGAGAACTGTGACTCCAGCCTGAACAGAACCTATGCCATATCCACCTCCTTCATAAGCTTTTACATCCCCGTGGCCATCATGGTGGCCACCTACACCCAGATATACCGCATTGCCCACAGACAAATCAGGCGGATCTCTGCCTTGGAGCGAGCGGCCGAAAGTGCCAAGAACAGACATGACAGCATGGGTGGAGGCTCCAGCATGTCAGAGTCCGAGAGCTCCTTCAAGATGACGTTCAAGAGGGAGACCAAAGTGCTGAAGACTCTGTCGGTGATCATGGGGGTGTTTGTGTGTTGCTGGCTTCCGTTCTTTATACTCAACTGCATGGTGCCCTTCTGTGAGCAGTCAAGCGGAGGGGAGGCTTTCCCCTGCATCAGCCCCACCACGTTTGACGTGTTTGTGTGGTTCGGCTGGGCTAATTCCTCCCTCAACCCCATCATCTATGCCTTCAACGCAGATTTCCGAAAGGCCTTCTCCATCCTGCTGGGCTGCCATAGACTGTATCCAGGAGGCCACAACATAGAGACGGTCAGTCTAAACAAGAAATGACTCATGACTCTCTCACAGCACTGACTCATCCTTAATGCTACGAGTCCTAGCGTTCCTGTGCAGGCCGGTCTGATGGACTTCAAACGAGGACACTGCCCTTTGTGCTGAGTGTGACTGAAGAACACAACGACCCTACATGTACCTGTGTCTGCATTATGCCAGTGGCCCGTCCATGTGCCGATGGTCAGAGTGAGCTAGCCGTGCTCACCGTGGTCGCTGCACTGTCTTCAAGGGGGGAGACGCTCCTGAAAGGGGATTTTGGGGGATTGAGATTAAGACTCTTCGCTGTTGTGCCAGGAAACTGGGAGAGCCCACGCCCCCTGTTAAAGATAATCCAGTGACTGGGCAGCACACTCCCTAATGCTGTCAGACACGGCTCTCTTCAATACCATCAGACACGTACACAAACACAAACACTGTCAAAACATGCTCCTCCAAATTCAGTGTAAATGCAGCACCCAGCCTGCACTCTACGACAAATTACATGACAGCACACGGAAATACTGTTACTCATTAAGTTAGCATCCCGCACTCTACAAGGAGTCCAGTGGAAAAAGCATCAAACTAAATTAGGTTCTAACTAGATGAGCATGTAGGTAGAGGGTGACATGTGACTAAAGATTACAGCACGAATGAAAGCATCAGAGTTTACATACCACTCCATCCATTAACGATGAGGAGTTGACACTATTGATGGAAGTGTTTAATTTTGAAACTGATCTCATTGCTGATACTGCTTCACACTTTACATCTTATCCAACTCTTGATATAACTTTCAATCAAATTTACTCAACAGACACCTCATACATTATTTGTTTTACTGCTTGAGAGTGTTTTATGGATGTCCCATATTACTTTGTGTGCCCTGTATTTTTCATTAACAACGGTCAATGACCTCCTAAAGGTTTTGCTCGACTTGTGGTGTCCTTGACTTCTATGCTTACTTGGCAGCTGATAAATAATTGCTAGTAACTGAATTATGTTTGGATAAATCACTTTCAATTAGCTCTTCAAAGTAATACAAAAACATGGGTGTTGTATTTATAGGTTCGGCCATCATTCCTATCAGTTATGATGACAGTGTAGTCCCTAAAGTATTTTCTGACATATTTGAACATTGATATGATCATTATACAGCAGCAGCCAGTCTATCAGACCAGGCTTACACCAGCACACGGTCAGGTCAGATTATTTAAACAACTATATTTGGAGATAAAATGTAAATGATGATGAGATGTATAATGTCACTGATAATCCTTGATCACACAATGTCTGTATTCATTGTTTCCTTATTTGTGAGCTGAGGGCTTGTTTGAAATGTTTTGGTCTGAATATCTGAGTGGAAGTGTCTTTTATCTCGTCATTTCTATTTTTTTTTTTAGCAATGTCCAGGTGTTTCCAAATCTCAGCAGTTAAAGAAATGGTAATCTGGGATCAACATCCATGAACTTGACACAGAGGAACCTGGTGTGTTTAACTAAAACTTGGTCAGACTTTGGATAATTCAAACGAGTATCATGAGTAAATTAGAGACTTTAAGAGATTCTGGTGGTATAATCGGTCTTAATCCCTGACATTTTGAACTTTTCCCTTACCTCATTACCTACAATATTATCATGACATAAAGATATTATGGATGAATCTTTTCAAGACCAAAGAAAGAGACTCTGAAGTATTGAGTAAGCATTGTATGTTGGACTGTGAAGAACAGGATGTATTGCCATCATCATCAACAGTTACCTCTTATTTGATGTAAAGTATTTATTTTTGTATGTGCTAAATGGCGTCATCACTTACCTATGGTGAGCATTGATGACACAAACAAAGCTGTAGGTGGTTGTACTTGGCTAAAATCTTTTTAGAAGTTGTTATAGAGGTCTGACAAATAAATACTGTATTATGTTACATTCATAACAGTTGTGAAGTGTCTGCTTTAGCATCTCAATGCCCATCTTAATAAAAGTGTATGTGTCAATTTTGGTGAAATCGACTGCGTGGTGTATGTGATTGTCTGTACAGATCTACAGATAAAACTTCCTGAAGTACAAACTTAAAGGGACCTGCTGTTTGAACGTCCAAAATCTCACTCTTGCGTTACTCTGGTGTTCATGTTTGTTCGGTTTGGCGATGAATCGACACCATTAGCAAAGTTAAAGGTCCGATCTGGAGTCTGAATAACATGGAATAATACCCTCTTTATCAATTTATTTTGGCTTTGTTTCATTCATTTGCTGAACTGCTGTTGTTTCAGGCTCAAATGATTGACTGAACTGTTGCAACAATACCAAAAAACTAAACACACATTCTGATTCACAGCTGAAATTAGGAGGTGATTTTACATTTAAATGTTCAGGAGCTTTGTATATCAAGGATGCACCTGTCACATAAATGGACACTGCAGTTGAGTAAGAGAGTGATGCCCGTAGTTGAAGTGTGGAGGGAGAACAGCCTCAAGGACGAGATTTCTTGGTAAAACATTCCCTCAGAGATTTGCCAGCTATTTTGAAAATATAAATGAATCAAAACCTAAACTGATTTAGAGTTATGATTCTCTTTACTGAAGCTAATGAGAATGTATTTTGATATGTCTGCTCTTCAATGATCTAATTAATCTGAATTTCAGTTGTCGTGTCATATACTTCAGTTCAACTAAACATCACAATTCATCTGCAGATTATTTTCCAGATTAATCGATTGGTCAAAGAAAAATAGTAAATAAATGGCCGACCCAAAGTACAATATGATGTAAAACTGATAACAATGTTCATATTTAAGGGGTTCAAAACATTTTCTGCCATTTTAGCATGTAACAATTCACTGATTTTTGACTAATTGATTACTTTGCTAATCAATGAAGCTTAACTTAAAAGTGATTGAAGAGTCATGAACTACTGTCAATAAATAGTAACCGTCAACAGATTTATTAGAAGGATTAATTTTATGAAATTAAGTTAATGCTCATTAGAAATCTGAATAAGTATTATACTATGATGGTCACTCCTTCACACAAACAGAGGTGGAAGAAGTAATCAGATATTGTACATAATTTAAAGTAGAAGTACCAAAGTGTACACTCAAGTAAAACTCCTGTATTCAAAATGTTAATCAAGTAAAAGTACAAAAGTATTGGCATCGAAATATATTTATAGAACCAAAAGTAAAAGTACTCACTATGCAGATTGGTCCATTTCAGAATCATGTATGTTTTGATTATAATTATTGATGTAGTAATCAGCTTGTAAAGACACATTTTAATTACTTTATTTACTGCTGGGCATCATGTGAATTTAATCCAGGTTTCACTAAAGTCTTATTTAAGTGTTGATTATATATATTTATTGTAGTTAATCAATATCTGCAAAGTAACTAAAGGTACTACGTAAATGTAGTGGAGTAAAAGTACAATATTTACCTCTGAAATGTAGTGGATTAGAATTACAAAGTAGCATACAATGGAAATCATTGTACTTAAGTACAGTACTTGAGTAAATGTACTTAGTTACATTACACCACTGCACAAAAACGCACACAGAGTTCTCCTCTTAAGCCCAGTTTCTCTGGGCCCCGGACTGTCCTTGCCTCTGTGAAACCTCCTCAAGCGTGCCACGGGAAGAAGCAGCAATTAATTTGACTGACATCATTCAGAGTGATGGCTGAGGTGGCGACAAGACAGTGTGTATGTTTATGTGTAGTGCAGCAGCAGCGCTATTATCACCTGCTCCAGCGCCCAACACGCACTCCCCTAAAAATGTCACCCGCACTTTGCAATTACACACAATTTGTTTTATTTTGCTGTCCTTTGGTTGCAATGGAGCTCTTGAGATTTTCACATCAATTCTGTCTTTTTAGATTGGCACATCAGAGAAGAGATGTAAGACATGGCAACATCAGATGATGCTAATGACTGGCTCTGGGGAAATGACTTACTGAGACAGGGAGGGAGGAAGAAAGGGGCAAAGAGAGAGACAGGGAGTCTTATGTAACTATCAAGCAATGGTTACTTAAAAAGGATGCTCTGTAAATATCACATAAGTCCCACCAAAGTCAGACTGCTGTCACATCCATAATGAAGTTTCCTCTGTGGTCACATGCCGTTTGCTATCACGAAACCAAGATAAGCATAATTGAGAGTGAGCGTGTTGGTGACTCCATCCAAAGAGTGTCAACACAGTAACATGCTGACAGAAGTGAACGCACTTTGCATTTGAAAAAATGTTGTTGCTCTGTTTGTCCCTATCTGGTCTCCTTTTTTGGGGTAAACAGATGCTCTATATTCATTTAACTGATCAACAAGCACACATCAGGCCACGTCTGCACTCACTCCTCTCGAGGAAATGTGTTCATCTTTGTACACCACAGCATTCATTTAAAAAGTATTAAACAAATGTTACCCTGCGCTTCAGAAATAGACACGGGATCGCACATGTTTTGACTTTTAGTGTGGGTCCTTTGTGGCAAACCCCTTCATTGCTCTCCCTAGTTTACTCCTGCTCTTCATTTCTCTTTCTTATCAAACCCCTCTGCTCTCTTCCTCCACCCTCGCTCTGTTTACTGTGTGTGCTGCGGGCAGCTGGAAGTGCCGTGTTGCCATTCGTCACTCCAACTGGCTCCAGCGGAGAGGACAGGACCCCTGACCCCACCACTGAGAAAGGAGCAAAGGAACGAGGGGATGTAGGGAATAACAGAGAGGGCAGAGAGTTATCACTGAGGACACGGAGTGAGGGCACAACAATATCCATACCAGATTAAAGGGAAAACAACAACCTGCAAGGGTAGAAACCATAGACTGTATATATAAAGAAACCCATCCTCTAATATGTTTGGTGTTTTCGTAAGGTCAGTGGAGAGCACCTTTGAATCTAGCTGTAAAATCTCCTATAGAGATGAACTTATGTTGCAGGTGAAACAGTTAAACAAATAGATAAGACAATTCTTTTTTGTATATCAAGTAGTCTGAAATGTCATGTTTAAATATGCAGATAATAATAATAAATGTGTTCTATTTTGAATACATTTCAAGAATATAAACCTGTACATTTGATACATCCATACTTGTTTCATAGCGTTGATGTATTAGAGTCTAATTGTGTAACCACATTGTATCACTCCATTTATAACAAAGTACTGTCAACAGCAAACTATTTAGCTGTTTTTAGAAATAATATGTTAAAGGCTATGAACGATACATGAACAAACCAATTTGTAATAACAATTAGAATATAGAGAATTCATTTGGAAAGTTTGTTGTATGTAAGTGCTACTGAAGATAAAGATTTCCTCCTCCGAGTATGAGAGCAAAAATAATTGACTTACATTTGAGTGATTGTGGCCAGATCATCACATTATTTTAATCTCCATCAAATCATGGTGTGACGCTTCACAGTCTGTGTTGATGCATCTGCATCTATTATGTTGCTTCTCCTGTTTAATCAGATGTTCCTTTCATTTGTCACCCATCTGTAAGTGACAAGTGAGAGAGAATGAGAGCAAGAAACGATGATGCAAGAGGATATGAAGACCATTGCATCATCCTCATTAATCCACTTATCTAACTACCTTGTTCACCTCTTTTTTATATTTATAGGTGTCTGTTCCGCTGACACATTTCAGAGTAACAGTATTGATGCCCAAATCCTCTGAAATAAATAGAGGAGAATATAATCCCTCATAAACTGAGTTTCAATACAGGGTCATGGAGTGACCTCTGCTGGAGATGGACCGAATATGGAGATGACTTGACCTAGGTCTTAAATTCCCAGGCTGAATTCGGCCTGATCAAATCCTCTGGAGAAATCAAGACAGATTTGAGGAATATGCTGGATAATAATTGCTCATATCGGTCTCATCTCTGACCTATCACACATTGGTATAGTGGTAGAGTAGAAAACATCACTGTAGCATGTTAAATAAGCAAAGTCATTGAGAGCTGATCCAATTATACAATGAATAATAAGCCGGGTGCAAACGAGGCTGGCTTATGAATGGTGTTTTGTCCACCAATGGGGTGATGCCCACTCCAGCCACAGTATGCGGCTTAGCAGGAGAGAGGTGCTGCTCTGAGTGGAGATCAAGTTGTTAATGATGCCAATGCTCCTGCTGGTAGGATGCCCTGTGGGTTAATCGTGACCACGAAAAGGCTAATCAGCTAGCTTGTAGGGAAAAGCAGATGAGTCTTATCTCTGTAAGAACACAACATTAGCGCCATGAAGTGACAGTTAGAACAACAGAGTGATTACTGATAACTATGCAGGGAAATAAGAGATAGCCGTCTCTTCCACCTGGACTTAAGATAGGAGATGGCTGCCGAGTGTCTGGCCTGAGTAACCAGTGCTGACCATGAGCTGATTGACGCTGGTGCCAGCCAGACCATGTGTGCCAATGCTATTGAAACTCACAATTGTTAGTCAATTGAGTGCAGTAATATATTTATCAATATAATCATTCTTATTTCATTTTACGAAATCAAATTCATTAGATGTGGGTTTCATTTATTTAATGTTGTGTAGGTCTTTAATCCCAAAAAGATTCACATAATACAAATATAAGAGGCAGAAAAGAGCAGGAAATCTCCATATTCAAGAGAAATAGAAAACAGATTTCTGCAAAGTAATCAATCAATATTTAGATCGACTAATGGATTGACGATTTCTTGTTGCAGCTCGGGTGATGGTTTTTAAACAAATGCTGCTCAGGAAACTCCATGCATCCTTAAAGGGATAACTTGCACCGTTGATAGTAATGGTAATGTGTCACACTTGAACAATTTCAATTTTAGAACGGAAAGCCCACATGCGTTGGTGATTCATGTAATTGAATACAAATGTGTTTTAAGTGTGCTGCTGGTAGACGTGAGCCTCCCACAATGCATTGCACAAAGAAAATGGAGGAGATTATTCAGGTCCAGCCTGTCTCTG